CTTCCATTTCTCTTCCCTTCATTATCCTCTCCTTCCTCTCTCCCTCCCTCCCTCCCTCCTTCTTTCCTTGCTTCCATTTCTTTCTTCATTATCCTCACCTTCCTTCCTTCCTTCCTTCCATCCATCCATCCATCCACCCACCCATCCAATCTAAGCATTAAACAGCGTGGCTAGCCAACCAAACAGGGATAACCAAACGGATACCCTACAGACGGTATATTCTGGCGTGCCATTAAAAACTTCTAACAGTCGTGGTCAACATTTCATACCCTTTTCCTAGCCTCTCTTGGATTTTATAGAAGAGGTTCTTTAGGTGTTTTGGGGGGTGTTAAGTGTAAGATTATTTTCGTTACACCCCCCTGTCTTCCCTTGTACTTCCTTTTCATAAGCAGATTCATGGTTCTTACTAATGAGCCCCACCACCGTCGTGTCGTCTGCCAATTTAATAATTGTGTTGGTGTTTCACAATCAGGTGGCTGCCACACTCAACAACTTGGCCGTCTTGTACGGGAAACGAGGAAAATATAAGGAAGCCGAACCTCTGTGCAAGAGGGCCCTGGAGATTCGCGAGAAGGTAATTTGTTCTGCTTCTTAAATTTGCACGCCGCCCGTTTTATTGTCAAAGCCACTCTGGGTGACTCCTTAAGTCTCGGAGATCCTTGGCAAGAACAAAAAATATTTTGGGTGGGGGAGTCGAAGGGACAGGCTGAGGGTGTAAAATGTCTGAAGTGCCTTACAAGATGCCGTAGAAGAAGCGTGACAAGATTCACCAAAAAGTTAGTAAGAGTTGAAATTCTAAAAAGGTAAAGAGATGATGGATAGATAGAGAAATTTTTTTAACATGGTGGTTATTTTATTAAGTAGAGATATGAAGAAGTCAAACCTCCTTTCTTCCTTCAGCAGCAGGGAACACGCAGTTAGCAAACCATCAATCCATCAAACCAGCAATCGTCAGCAATCCAGCAGGTTCTCTTGCTCCCTCTAATGGCGGTTTCACAACCGCACCCAAAATTACCGTATTTCCCCATGTATAAGCACCCCCTTTGTATAAGCCACCCCCCCAATTTTTGGACTGTGAAGTTTTGAAAAAAATATTTTATTAGAGAAACAAGTTATGAAGAAAGAAAATTTACAAAGAAACAAAATTCGACGTCTAGATCTACAACTTCGGTCATGACGCCGAAAGCGGTGCGGGCGACGCTAGCAATCTACGCATCGGAACGAGAGTAGGAACGAAGCATTCAGGCCGATGCCTAGCGTATGCATTTCTATCGCGTACTCGCACTCGTAATCGTATCATCACGTACAATTTTTACAAAAAAGTATAGCATACTGCTGGAAAACCAGTTTATTCCTACTTTATTATTTTATGCATTTTTCACGTATAAAAAGTGTACCTGCTTTGTATATGCCACCCCCCAACTTTTTGGGCTTGAAAATTTTGGAAAAAAGGGGTGGCTTATACATGGGGAAATACGGTACATGCTTTGCAGTTTAAAGGGACACACACTTAAAATTACTATCATAGTTTATATATATTATTTTACCCAAACCACGTTAGGTAACCTATGTTATTCCTAACAAGGGCCGCCTTCTTTTTCCTTCCAGGTGCTTGGAAAGTACCACCCCGATGTAGCCAAACAGCTGAACAATCTGGCCCTCCTTTGCCAAAACCAGGGGAAGTACGAGGAAGTCCAGTATTATTATCAGCGGGCCCTAGAGATCTATGAATCCCGCCTGGGCCCCGACAATCCAAACGTAGCCAAGACGAAGAACAACCTGGTGAGTGGGGGCTTTGAGAGAGGAGAAGAAGAACTAAGATGGAAACAGAACACCAGACAAACAGCCAAGCAGACAGCAATCACCTTAATTGAGGAATTTGCAAGGGAAAAATATCTTTTTCACCCACCAAGCTGGGCAGGGCACGCTCTGGTGTATAAACAGGCAGCAAAACCCACACTCCCTAACACTGTTGATGTTACCTAGTTGGGTAAACAAGCAAGGAAACACACTGTTCCTTTAAAGGGGAATGTTGTTAGCTCGGGGTTGAAACGAGGGGGTCTTAGGTGCCCTCTGAGCTTGATGGTTCTCTTGCCGACGTTTCGTGACCCAACTAGGTAACATCATCAGTGCTAGGGTTATGAAATGCCCGGCAAGAAAACAAGGAGGCTCAGAGAGCACCAAGGACTTTGCACTCCTCTTCCTCCCTCCTTTTCCTCCTCCTTTCCCCCCACTCCTCCTCCACTCCACAAACCCTTCTCCCACTGATGATGTTACCTAGCTGGGTCATGAAATGTCTACAAGGAAACACCCAGAAGCCCTTAAAAATATAACTTACTCTCGAGCAGCTTGGGTGCAAATTTTTCAGGCAGTTGCGATGGCATCGTTATGTTAGTTTCAACATTTTTTAATTGCTTTTTAAAATGTAGATTTATATATATAAATACATATCTTTTTTTACATTCTCGTAAGCCGCCTTGAGTCGCCGTGTGCGAATAGGCGGCAATATAAATTTCCAAATCAATCCGCGTTTCTGGTGGTGAACAAACCTCACAAAAGAGAGGTGCCCATGTGAACCCGTATTCTGCTCCTCCTCTTCCTCTTCCTCCTGTGATGTGACCCCTAGAAAAAATAAATAGACAAACCAGGATGGTTGAAAGCAATACACCTGGCTTGCTCCTCTTGACCTCTGGATTGTATAATCTTTGCCAGGCCTCTTCTTACATCAAACAAGGAAAATACAAGGAAGCCGAAACTCTCTACAAGGAGATCCTGACCCAGGCGCACGAGAGGGAATTCGGATCGGTCAACGGTGAGCGTGGGAGGAAGGATTTTCACCCGTTGGGAGGGCAAACTTTCGCACAGATGGCAGAGCCCGGCCGAGGACTTCTACCTAGAAGCCTGGAAAGACAGCGAGGGTGGTGCGCAAGGGATTGTGTGGGTGTCTAGGTGTGTGTTTAAAAGAGAGCGAAGAAGAGGCTTGTTCCGTGGAGGAAGAATCCTCTGGCTCGCTTTGGGAAGGCAGTTTGGTCTAGTGGTTAAGGCACCAGATGTTGTGGCCCACCGGCCCACCACACACACTCTTAGCTCTGGAAGGATATGGGTTGAATTTTAATTCTAGAAGGGTCTCTCTCTCTCTCTCTCTCTCTCTCTTTTTCTCTCTTTGTTTTTCTCTGTTTCTCTTTCTCTCT